CCATTGCACTATACACCAGAACATAGAGTTTAGAGCTATTCTCTCAAAGATATACTCTTGTTCGTCACATCCAAGTCAGTCTCACTCGCTGTCATCGACAATCATATGTATTGGTATTTTTATCATGCCTTAAAACGGTTTCGTAACAAATGAGGTTGAGCGCATATCCCTCTAACTACACAAACCACGCTAGGCTGCATGACCATAAAGGAATCCGACTCCGCATATCTCGTTTCAGCAGTCACTATTCTGTTCCTCCGGTCATTCTACTAATACATATTTAACGATAACTCAACGCAAGCGACAACGCACACTGACTTCGCATTTTATTATCATAATCAATTGCAGTACAGCAATGAATACCACCTGTTGATGCAGTCATCTTCCTACGGCTGGATTACTTCTTATCCCACATAAACTTCAGTTATGTAAATTCGAATACACTCATCGCTAAGCGACTCTATTTACTCTACTGCGACTTATCAGAACATCATATTTCACTGTTCTTTATCCTCATATTCAGTCGGTACTACAGACCAATTTCTATTATATTCTAAATTACTTATTCCCACGATTTATTACGCTGTCATACCTATTAACGATTTATTACTCTATTTTCACGATATTTTGAATTGCTTATACGAACCTGTTATTTTATCATTCAGACAGTCACTACATAAATGCATGTTAAATTTTTTTTTCATACGCTTACTAATGTACTCATAATCACATCCTAGCATTTCAATTTTTGTCCGCATCTTGACAATATTCATGTACATTTTTACATAAGTATGACACTTTCGAATAATACGCTCACCCCTCACATGACACTGTAATTTATCAGGTATTGTACCATTTTTTCTAACATTTTGACGTTTTCTACATACCGCTTCAGTGTTATTTTTCGAAAACAGACATTTTTTTATAAATGTGCTATTTTCTACAAGGGGGCTATGTAGTATCGGTGTTTATGTTAAGCCCATATACTTTATTCTAGTTGCTGGCCAAGCCAATTCGCCTATCCATTATGAGTCATATTTTGATCTTGTTAATTATTCGCTTACTAACCTTGACTACCTTGTTATATGAGCGCATGTGTATGTACCCTTCTTATCCTACCTATCACATGTCTGTCATTCATTTTTGTCCGACTATAAATGTTGATTAATGCTTGCTTAAATCGAGTTGGCTTCCCAGCCATCTCCAATACGCATTATTTAGCTTCGCTCTCGAGTTGGCTTCCCAGCCATCTCCAATACGCATCATCTTTGCTTCGCTTGCATACAGTTGCTCATGTGCTTACAACTTTCTGGTCTGCATCGATTATCAATAAAAATGTAGTTGCCGCTTCCCTTTGCCTTCTGATATTATACACCGTTAAGATTGGTATTAATAACGGTTATCGAAGCGAACTATGATCGAAGCACGGCACTACAGTATATTTTGTAAATTTCAAGAGTTTCAAATATACTGTATCATTGATACCTCAATCATTGTTAAGATATGATGTGGGAAACATTGATAATGATCTATTCTGAAGAATTTAAGTGACAGTTCATCGTAGTTAGATTTATCAATGTACTTTTGAAAAAACCTTTTCTTAATGTTACGTTTCAAATGAATGACAAACCGTAAATAAATTGTATTTGTTACAATTCGCCACCCTCTGTTAGTTTGAAAATCTCTGTGCAATTTAAATACCGCGGCAGAATAATAAATTTTTTACAAATGAATCTTTGTTTTAACATTCATTCTGTAATGCTTCTTGTTTGTAAAATTGAAGGAATTAGGATCATTGCACAACTGAAAAGCTTATCGACGTTATATTTTTACTCAGTGCTAATAAACCTATTGTTGTGACTTTATAAAAAATAAGACCGTATGACAATTCGTTACAATCTTATGTCCGGCTTTTATCACGTGAATTATCCACCAATCGAAATACGACTTTTCCGATTTTAACACTGTGACAAATCACTGACGTTCGACTAGTATGAGTAGTCTAGCGTCTTTATCGGTCCCTTGTACGCCTAATCCTTCCAATTGAGTCCAAAACATTAATTACAGCTTCTTCTATGCGAATAATTTATTTTAAACATACTCGGTTTATATACCAGACAAACAGACGCCATCACACCATAAAATAAAAAATAATATTTGTACAAGATCAAGCGAAATATGGTAGTGAACGTGGGAGACAATAATCAATAAAATGAGTCTAATTTAGGAACAGTAATTCGTATGATCATAATCCATAGGTCAAAATGAAGCTTGAAATAAGATGAATATAAATATACATAATCTAAATACTCAATAGTTAAACAATAGGAATATGTATAGAATATTCGTCCATTAATAGGTCCAGGGAGTTACCCGTACATATGTCTTGACTAAGATTTTTTTTTCGAAGAGTCGAAGTTGAGATTCTGAATTTAAAAAAAATATGCATAACTTGGAATTCTCCAACATTTTACTCCGTCACAAAATAATGTTGGATCCTCATATCTCCAATTTACAATCAATGTGACTTTATTTAAAACATATTTCTCATATTGAATGGAGAATCCACTAGAAATGACTTAATCATGATGAAAGACATTTGATTTTGGGTCATCAGAGTTTGGTTCTTCTGAGATATTTTCGTCAAATTTATTAAGAATCTCATCAGGTGATACTGGATAACCAGGGAAATCAACATCTAATATAATTGAATTAGGTTTTTGATTATCATTTTATTCAGCCGACATATTCTTCTCATTTTTATACGAAATGTCATCAAAACCACGTGCATCATTATGAGGAACTACATTTAATGAAACAGTATGAGAAATCGGACAAGTTGGCTCACTATAAGCATCCGTCTCCCAATGATTTTGAGTTACATTTGGCACAATAGGGTTCATCGTACTGTTCCAGTCTTTTTCTGGATAAGAATCCTGACAGTTTTCTCGACCAACGTCACATGGACTTACACTTAACCAGTAATGAAGTAATAAACAACACAACAGTCAATAAACGATGTAGAACTTAGACATTTCATCTATTATATTCCAAATGATGCATACACAAAAAGTTTCCTTCAGAAATCAATATAACTTCAGTGGAAGGAAGGCTCATTGTATAATCTCAAAGGAAAATAATTTAATATTTTGTCTTACCAATGAGTTTCATAAAAGAACAGAAAGAATACTTTCCTTTAGACTTATTCATATTGTAACTAAGTCATATTTCAGTCAAAATCTTTTCATCAAAATAAAAAAAAGTTTCCTCGCTTACTTGATTTCAAGTAATCTTGATGAAGTATTTCATGTTCTTTACATGTATCCATGCGTAAATTAGAAAAAAAATTTTTCCCCAGTTTCCGAGGCAAAATTAAGATGAATAATTTTTTAAAAAAAAAAGTAAATTTCATCCTCTTCAAATTAATTCTAATATAAATCAACTTAGTTAGTAGTATCAGTATTAGTATTAGTATTAGTAGTAGTAGTAGTAGTAGTAGTAGTAGTAGTAGTAGTAGTAGTAGTAGTATAAAACGTGTCAAATTTCCCATTTGAGTTGATAGATAGATAGTTATAGTTATATATTCGTTTAGTATAATAAGTGAAATATAGCTATGCATATTGAAAATCACGAACAATATTCATGGTTCATTTTTCAAAGAGTTTTTTTAATGAAAACTGTTTCTTTTACGGTGAATTAATGCTGTTAGTTGTTTTCTTTCCTAGAGTAAAAATTGATCACTTCGATAAGTAGAACTGATAGAATAGTTTTGAGTCACCCAAATTTAAAATTACGGCCAAAATATTCAACATCAGTTTAATTTTGTATCAAATTGAAATATAGTAAATGACAGTGTTGTATTATTCTTTAATTCAATAATTTTCTTCAAACATACTATTATTGTAAATTCATTTTGTATTATGCACTTGATCCGTTTTTTATTGGCGTATGTACATCCTGTGCAGATTACCTCAATGTTGCTTTAATTCATAAGCATTAAAGGAAAATTTCAATAGTTGGGATCATAAGTCAATTGAAGCCTGGAAGCACTGGGCGGCCGTTTAGTCCTATTATGGAACTCCTCAGCAATGCGCTTCAATTTACCCATGATCCCAACTATTAAAATTACTATAATATCCGCAAAATCACCATCTGATATTATAAGAAAAGATGGATGATGAAAAAATTCAAACAAACATTTCAGTATAAAGTTATATCTCACTTCATTTCATAAGCAAATAGTTATCAGGTCCAAGAGCTAACTAAGTACATAAATGTGACGGTGTTTGAAGCGAACGGTACTAGGTTTGAGTTCCGTGATGAATATCAATTTTGGGATTCAACTACACCCAGCTGACGAGTTATTATGAACTAGGTATATAGTCGTTACCAATTTCTAATGCGTTTTTGAATAATATTTATTTACAATGCAAACTTTACTTAAATAATTGTGTTTCCTATAATATTACGATTACTACACTAGGTCGACTAGATAATTTCAAATAAACTGGAAACTAAATAATTTTTGATCAATATATTTGCAATATTCAGAAGATTAGAAAATTAAACGTAAAATACATTTCAACTTAACTAATATGGGTTGCTTCTTAACAATTAATTGATCACTAGGTGGTGTCAGGTCCTTCTTAGTGCAGATCATATCCTATCTACCAAGTTGCAATATGGTCACTACTCTACTTAACTCGACATCGCGTGTACTATGTTGGAATAAGGTGGTGGTTGGAGATAGTTGACAGAAAACACTGGAACTCGTGAGTGAGCATCAGTTCCCTCAATATTACAGATAAGCATTGCTGACAAGAGCCAAGTAGCACAAAACCTAGGTCTAGGGTTTCTTGTTGACTACCTTCAACCTCCATCTTATCGTTTGCTTCTTTTAAGAAAAAGTGATTATTCATTTGTTGATAAACCAGTTCACATTAAGTTATTAACTGTTAAAAGTTTACATTTCTTCATTATACTTCCTATAATTTTGAATAGTTTCAAATTACTTCGTCCAAAGTCAAATTTTCATCTAAATGATTACAGATCGTCTGTTTCACCGATTGTAATTAAACAGTTGACCATAATTGATTACATTACGGAAGACCAAAGTATCATTTTATAGATAGTCTTCATTACTAAAGTCTATTATGATTTGAATTATTACCATTATACAACTAATTCAATTCTGATTGGTCAATTAAGAATGACCCTGGAGAAATTATTTTTATTTGCTACTGACAGATAACTAAAGTATACACGTATACTGATGATGTTATATTTCCTTTAACAACAACAAAAAAAAAACGAAAAAAAAACGAACACAGTTACAATGTAAACACGTTCACATTCCATGTACAATGTTACTATCATTGTTACTATCATGGATACTATACTTATATAATTAATAAGATTAATTTAATAAAAGAAATAATATGGATAAAAAATTGAATACAACCTTATTTCATCCAGCATTAATTAATTTAACTACCCATTTATTTCATAATATAATTGAACATAAAATTAATACACAAAATTTTAAATGTTTAGGATTACAATCAATTGATTATGAACAAAAAGAAAATCAAATTGAAGTTGTATTACAATTTGATATCATTTCATCATCGTCATCATCGTCATCGTTGTCATCGTCATCTTCATCATCATCGACGAATAACTCTTTAGTTAATAATAATAATACTTATACAGAATGTGATTATACAAATTTATTTGTTGATAAATTAACAGAACAAATAACTCCAAATGAAAGAAAATGTAAGTTTAGTTAGTTATTAATCTCTGTATAATGTAATATAAAGTCTTGCGTTTTTGGATTTCTAATGAGAAGCGATGACCAGTAAAGCTAATCTGTGTCAATAGAAGATAGTCTTGGACTGGTTGAAGTTAGACATTAACACCATTGTATACTGAATCAGTTGTGTAGAGGTTAAGCGTGACCGAAGGTTCTGGGTTAGAATCTCGCGTGCAGGATGATGAATGTGTACTGTTGAGGAGTCTCATACTATGACGAAGCGGCCTTCCAGTTCTTCCAGGTTTTCCAAGGTGGTCTAATATTGATCGATTCATGATCTTAATTAAAAATAAATATTTTTCTTTTGGTAAATTAAAATTAAAAAACTATATTTAGATGATTGAATGCTAAAATTAAATATCGATCTATGGTTACTTTATGTCTATATATAGCAATCATTCATTGAATGATGAAACCTATCTGTTTCATAGCGAGAAATAACGATTATACTATAAGTAGAAATGATAAATTTTAGATTGTCAGACGTTTTGGATTTTCTTACCAACTTAAGAAATGAAGACAACGCTTAGGCATATTAAACTCACCGAAAGATTTGTATATTTTGAGTTTGATTCCTGGTAAGATTTGCCAATGTAAAATGTTAAAGAATCACGAACCGATTGTTCCATAGTGTTCAGCATGTATCCCTCTGATATCACTATTATATTTTTGATTGTGACTAGGATTAATGAAACCGAAGAATTGTCTTTTCTTCTATTCAAAATTCATTAGCTGGATGTAAAAACATCCCAGTCTACTATTTCTTAAAATTAACGATATTAAATTATAAACCATTACTAATTAATATCAGAAGGGGTTTTTTGTGGATATTATATTAATTTGAATAGTTGAGATAATGGGTCAAAACAGCCGTCCAGTGCTTCCAGATTTTCCATGATGGTCCACCTTCAATTGACTCATGATCTCAACTATTAACATGACTAATTAAACGGGTTATTCCTAGATACAACAGAGTCTTATAGAAACAAATATTGTCATATTGATATATTTCTCTACCCTTTTATTTGTTTTTCTATTCAATCGCTTACACCAAACCGAATGTTTTAATAGTTTTAATATGTATTCAACCGTAAATTCAGTGCATATGGATAAACATTTTAATTTTAACTGATTAAAATGTTTACTATTTACTCATTTCGATCATCTGATTAAACACATAGGATAAATAGTTCATAAGGAAACAGACAACTATTTAATTTTTGGTAGAACAGAATTTATGGACATTTGAATGACTTTAATCGATTAAATCACAAACTGGTCTTAGCAAAGTTACCATTGAAAACATGAAAGTATTAGACAGTTATTTTGTCTTAGTACGAGACTCCTCATAAGCGCGTATCCATGATCTCTTATTTAGGAATTGAACTCAGTGTTTTTAGTTTTTAAATGGCGACCTCGTTAAGATTAGTTTGTGATTTAACCTACTTAGGTTTTATTTCTTTTAGGTATCTTTAGTTTGATGATACAATATTTCATTAATGAATAACTTAAAATGCCCTGCATAAATTCGGTCTAAAATTTAAACCACAATTTTCTTCATATTATTAGTAAGCGAGGTTTGAGTTATTTGACTACCTATATTAAAGATCAAATTTAGGCAGGGATATCATTGAATGATTCTGCTTGGTCACTATTTTTATGAGCTAGGGTTTTGTTTATTTGTTGCAACGATCTTTTTTCTTTAACAAGTGATTAATAATGTTTCCTTAAACAATTTTTCGTTTTAGTCCATAATAGTTTTAACCATGCAAGTTCAGTCAAACACATTGTAAGCTGTACAGTTTCGATCTAATTTTTATGTTTTGTGTTGAAGTAATACATCTGGAGTTAGCTTGATTTACCAATCTTCCCGTAAAATCCAAATGAAGGCAAACGAAAGGACATAGTCATGATATAACTATCATGTTATTTAAAATAAATAGATTTTAGTTAACAATGGGGTCAAGAATCCTTCATTCTACCTATTTAAGACTAATCAACCGAGATGTACCTATATCCTAGTGTAATTATTCACACAAGTACTCTAACACATTACCCTTTGCTTCAAACGCCTAGATAACTGCTAACCTGTTCAAGTACCATTGTGTTTGGATCATTGAGAGAAATGATACAAGTTACTAAAATAAACATCGTACACGTTTAATTGTTGATACGTTTATTAATATGTACATATTTGTACATAAAGGTTTTTAGTTTCTCTGTTAGTAGAATTTTTTGTACACACTGATTCTTATTCGTTTTTCGACTGAATCTAATCTATTATGAGCTACTGTCCTCTCATCTAACTGATTTTACAAACATGTGTGTTTGAACACGGTTATAAATATGTTTTTGTTTATTACTTCATTATCTTGTTTTTCGTAGGCGGCCTATGCTCCATTGGGAGTAACAGGCGTAAGTAAGTAAGTAAATCTTGTTTTTCAATAACAAGTAACAATGTAAAATAAAATACTGACTCAGTTTTCAATGAAATTTATCTGGTAATAATGTATTACATGAATCAGCTAGTACATTTCTGTAAGAATTCACAATCTAACAACCTTTCAAAACACATATTATCGATTTCGAAATAAAGTAAATGTAGCACATTAATTTTCCACTTTCCACTGCTGAGGAGTCCCATACCAGGACGAAACGGCCGTCTAGTGCTTACAAGTTTTCCAAAGTAGTCGGCCCATGAATTCAACAATTAAACTACTGTAATCTTCTCAAATCCTCTTTCTGATATAATATTATACACAATAAATATCATGTTATAACTCGAGTTATTTAACGATTTATTGAGTTTTAGTCAGAATTGAAGACTTAAGTGGAAAAAACAGTTTATTAATTAATTTCTTGCACGTGAACATTTATTCTATAAACCGTTGAGCCTATATCTTATGATGTACAAGCGGAGTCATAGATATGCATTTCTGAGGATATCTCATACTTGAATCAAACGGTTATTCAAAGTTTCCAAGTTTTCAATAGTTTTTAAACTTTGATCAGTCCATGATTTCAATGAAATTCAATAATCTTTAAAACACTTTACTATCTGTTGATTAGTAACTTATCACTGTAATATAATTGAACTAAAACCTATTCTCTCATTGACATGACAAGTATTTAGTGAAAATCTAAACAAACAATATAAAAGAAATTTAAACTTCACTTCATTCTACAAGCAAGTGGTTATCAGGGTCCAAGTGTTAACTAATTACATTATGTTATGGCGTTTGAAACGAATGGTATTAGGTTTGAATCCCGTGATGAACATTAACTCTAAGATTCAGGTAGATCCAGCTGACAAGTTATATGTAAATATTGAAATTATAGACTATTTAATAGCAATGACATTTTTAACGTCTCAATGAATAATATACCCAACTCTGTTGATGATTTTTCAATCAGTTGACATTTTAATAGCATAACAATTAATATTTAGTGAAGAAACGTTTGATGTATCTTTTCGCCGGTTATATTTGGAATGTATTTTATGGGAAAGTTGATTGTATTCTCACTTTAAAAAGAAGAAATAAATAATCAAATAGGAATTAAACAGTTGTTTGAAACATCAAAACACGTTTTTGTAGGATTGTTTAAATGTATACTACCAATCATCATAGGTGTAAAACTATATTACTCTTAACAGAGAATCTTTTCCTTGTAAATATCTTGGAGATTATTTTCAAAGATAATCATCAGTATATTAATGAACAACATGGGTTCTATACCTATACATGAAGTTACAAATGAGAATTGATAATATACCTGAACAATCATAAATGATAAACCTTTTGTTGTGCCACAGTTTTTGGTTAATTTTCTAGGTAACAAGTTTATTACAGAATGAACAATTTGAAATATATTCATTTCGAATAAACTGTAATCTACTGTATACAATTCTAATCATATAGATAATTGAGATATTTTCAAAGTAATATGAAGATTTCTAGCTTCAACAATAACTCTTATCTCTTTGAATTTTAGAAATAAACTTCATTCACTCATTTAGATTCAACTTGAATTATAACCGCACTTAGAATAATGAATGATGAGATTTGGTATGAACATGATTTTCTTTAAATAAATTAAAAACCTTTTGATAAAAAAAAATGGAAAAACTCTCCAGTCAGTAAGCTACAACGTAGGACCAGGCGCACATATACATCGGTCCAAGTTGCCATACCTCATTACCACAACAAGATGAACACCGAATTCATAGAAATAGTTAATTTATTAATGCTAATATATAAAAGAAAGGTTGTATATAAGGATATAGTACAGAAAGAAAGACAGATATGAAGCAGTTTTAATCTGAAGGTTTAAGGAAAGATAAAGAGTGTATACACCTGAGCTATTGTAATGGATTCTGAGCTATGTCACCTAGAGTTTCCAACTACTTTTCAAGTAGATCTTTTATCAATTTATAGTAAGCAAAAAAATTACTGACGCCTTATTTTATCAGTGGTAAATAAATTCACTCATATTACATTGATATATAGCAACTATCCTACAACCAATTTCAATTATGGTTAATTTTGTTTAAGCCATTTTATTAAATTACTTAACAGACAATGCATTTGGACAGTAACAACTGTCATATTTCTTTGTGTCGTTATGATCACTAGAGCACATGATAGACTAAATTGTTGTTTGCTTAAATATCACTTGAAGGTTCATCCTCCTCTCCCATGTTTATATGTACTCAAATCCTATTATTAGATTTTCGTTTCGCCTTGTTGTGCCCTTATGTGATTTCAATATAAAGTTGCCTATGTAATTGGTCGCATATACTTATTCGCCTGTCTGTGGCAAATTCATTTGATGTGCTCATAACTTTATGATCTGCACTATCCGTTGATTTAACTGTCATTGCTGCTTCTTTTTGCCTTCTGACTCCAAACACCGTTGAGATTTATAATATAACAGTTATGGAGGTGAAGGATCAACTAAACAA